CTGCATCATCGAATGCAAGTTTAAAAAATTGCCGACTGTATGATATGCACAAGTTTACAATTTGAACTGCGTACTAAATGCATGGATTTCAACTTAGGGTCTATGAGACTCTTCTCCAATGAATTGGAAATTGCGTCAATAGTTCTCGCGTGTAAACTACTCAGTCGGCCTCTGCTCATGTCACACGCCGGGGGCATATGTTAAAGACATAGACGTTCACGAGAAGGCACAACATGAAAAAGGTCAATTCACTTCTGGCACCTTTAACATGTGGTCGTGTGCTATGGAAGAAATAACGCCATGAAAATGTTACAAAATTCGTGAGGTTAAATAATCATTGAGATGGTCCTGTCTGAGACGCTGGGTGAATTAATCAAGTAAATTTTAAAAAAACTACCTAAGTGAAGATAAGCGAGAGAGTTTCAGTGGGGCAACACATGTTGGAACGTAGGAATTGTGACTTTGTAACCGTCGACCACGTGAAGGAAAGTACTGACCGCGATAATACTAAATTGTGGTAATAATTTGTTTGAAGGCATGTTAATAAATTCCACACTTTTGTGCTGTTTAAATGTTTACATACTAACGTTCATTTCTATGCACACTGGGTTAAAAACATTCGCAACTTCACAGCATGGTTTCTCAGGTACAAATTTAAAACAAGTTCTTCGAAATTTATTTGTACCAATAAATCTTGCTGTGTTCACTTGCTTTAAAATTCCCATATTCACCATGAGCTTGCCTTTTCTTTCATAATAATGAAAAACAGGTTTGAGGGTAAAGCAGTGGATTGATGCACCAGTGGAGCAAAACGTAATGATTATAAATGTTTCGGACTTAGATAAAGTGAAGGCATGGAACAAGGCAAATAATCCGTGTCGAACCATTGCTCCAGCCGATTCCTTTGACCATGAAAATACTCCTGTAGAGTAGACTCGCACAATAGGGTGGTAAATTTGGCTTCACAATAACAGTAGAGTAAATGCTTCCAATCTCATCCTTAGCTGTCGTTCGAGTAAAGGTTGAAGTATGGCATCGTTCAACCTGGATTCTGCTCTTCATCATAATCAAGTGAATTCACATAGTGGTCTGTGCAACAGAACGGAGCAAATGAGTTCCGTTAGCGGTCAGGTGAACGTTAATCAACGAATGTCAATAACCCCTGACCTAAATCGTCAAGAAAACGAGCTCGTGGCTCAATGGTTAGGACGTTTGATTCTGATCAAAAATGTCGCGGGTTCAAGGCTCGAATGGGACCGCGCTTGGGTTTTGGTATGACTGACCACAAATTGTCATTCAATTTTCCCTTGTCTTTGCTGGCAATACTGTCTGCCTACTAGCAGCTGTTATGGCTGTCAGGGCCTCTATCGAGGCCCAAGACAGAGGAAGACAGATGAGTTCCGTTAGCTGTCAGGTGAAAGTTCATCAACAAGTGTCAATATCTTTAGACCTAAACCGGCAAGACAACGAAACGCCAGTTCTGCCGTCCAACCTGCATATAACCCCCAGCATTTAGTCTTAACCGTTTATTTCATGTTGGGTATAGAGCCAGACGTTCGTTTGCTGCGTGAAACCTCTTTGACCTCAAGTAAATTTCAAAAACTGTGTAGTGGTCGCTCTTACCCGATGCCCTCCTAACTCCTGACACCACAGACGTGGTCTCGTATCGACAATCTTGGTCGCCCAGTCGCGCTCGATCCAGAGCTATGGCCCATGTCCGCATTTGAGTAGCGACCTTTGCCCTGGGGTGCCCATATGTACTGGAGGCAGGTCGGGCCAAACAGGGTCCTGAAGCTGACTCACACAAAGTCAGCGTTGGCCCTTTGTGACAATCCCCGCGCTGACGGACACTT